ACATTATTGTTTCTCACTATTTTCTACCCATTTCAATTTGAATTTTATACACCTTCCTGATCAAAACTATGGCTTTCCTCTGGCATTAAGCAACATGTTTTTAACGGTCACCCAGATGAAAGTTCAATAACCTAAGTGTTGACCTTAAGTGCTGTTATGAATCACACTCTGTGAGTAGATGAACCCTCAAAAAGAAAGTTTGGATATGGATCTATTTTAAAACCCTGTGGTTCATTCTTGCATTTCCAGTTAACATGTACTCTTCCCTGCCTTTTCAGTAGTTAGCAAATACAACAGTAGTTAATCTAGAGCCTGATTTCTCCACAATCACATATTTTAATACTTGTCTTAGTTTGCTAATTCCAAAATAAAGCATGCATTTAGCCGTTTTTGCTAAGGTAGCAAGATCAGAAAGAGAAGATTAAGGAAATAATTACTGAAATGTTAAAATATGAAAGAAAGCTTATTATTGATATTTTTTTCTTAGTATATGTGAAGATTTTAATGTTTACTTTGTAATTTCCAAGAAAGAAACTAACTAGTTGATGACAAAAGGGTTCGGAAAGTATGCTGGCACTGGAATGATACATTTTCCTCTGTCATTCTCAATTAATGGTCTTAACTGGGATTTTTAAAATGAAAATATCAATGTTGTTTTTTGAGTTGTTCTAAACCACAGTTTTCTATGCTGCCTTTTTCAACACTGGAGTTCTTTTCACGCCCCAGTGCTTCCCTGTATTTTCTGATGCTCAGAAAATGAAAGGAGAGAGATTTGATTTTTTATCAGCTCAGCTTACTAAATGTTAATTCAGGTGCAGTCTCTACATGATGTAACTAAATGATTAATGTCAAACTGTAAAATACTGCCACCAGCTGGCGAGCCTGACAGATGAGTATACTGTGGCATACACGAAAAGTACTGACATGCATCAGAAAGCATAACATTTGGATGCTACAGAAAAAAAGGACTGTGCTTTTCCTTCAATAAGAAATCAGATTAATGCCGTATTACAAATGACGGCCTGCATAGCTAAAGAGCTTTAATCCTCTAGCTGTTCATTGCTACAATCATACTCAGAATGTGGGAAAAGGAAAGGGAAAGGATTCTCCTCGTGTCTTAAATACATGTTTATTTTCCGAAGATTACTGCATCAAGATGTCTCGGGTAATTGGTCACAGAAGTAGTACAGTCATTTCAAAACTAACAAGCATTCACTTTGAATGCTAGCAGCTCGTTGTAACAGTGAGAAACTGCACTGAATATAAGGGAGTTCAAGATAAAAGCTTTTATTCTGTTGCTATTTAATGAGGGATCGTGAGGCACATGCCTCACAAGGAAGTGAGGAAAATGGCATTTACACAGTAAAGACTTGGATATTCCACTGATGAAGGATTCCTTCGTCCAAATTAAAAATAATCCAAAAGATTCTGGATGAGAGAATAATCGCTCTGTTTTACCAAAGAACAAATCCTTAGGAGTTGTTTTCATTCACTTCAGAATCAGAGAGAAACAAGACCTTCGAAACACACAGTTTTAAAGTGGTTGTTCTGCAGCATGCAGATTCAGTTTCTGTAACTTCGAAGGACCAGTACGCTAAACCACTTAGTTTCTAATGATTAGGAGAGATTATGAACACATTTGAATAGGAAAAAAAATTACCTCACGTCTCAGAGTACAAAATTATTTTCTTCCCTAAAACCTGCTGAAAGCAAATCATATACTAATTCAATTGTATATAATCACCAGCTCCATCTTGGTACCACTATGGAACTGTGCTCTTATGTGAGCGTTTCTGACTTAGAATCTTATCTTACTTACCTGTATTTTCTTTGTACTTGTTTTTGGCTGCAATATAGATATACTTTCTCAGGATAACACCTCCCTTACCATTTAGAGCCTATTATTGCCAGAACAGGCAGATACAGCATATTGCATATATATATATATATATATTTAAGAACTGCTATAAGCAGAATTAAAACCAACTCTTAAAACTCTTAAACTTAGAAAACAGTTATAATAAGACTGACAAAATACTTTCTTGAATTTTCCTCTTCTGGAACAGCCGAAGAGAAATGTTCAATTGGATAAGTAGCGTGTTGTGGAATATATATAAAATGAAAAGACTGAGCACTTTCTGTTAAAAGAAATTGGGCTAATTATTCAACACAAAAAATTTCCTTATTTGCAGTATGACGTCTGTGAGTTAAGGATTTTAGTCCTTTCCAACATTATCACATTTTTTAAACAGTTGTTCTGCTGCTAACCTCAGTTCAACCATTCCCACTATCAGCAGCAGGAAACGTAAGGAAACAGACGGCTGGGTGCCATCCTTCATAACCGAATTGAACCAAGTTCTCCTTTCCTGAAAACACTGCCAGCCATTTTCAGCTCCGTGCAAGTACTCCTCCTTTTCTTTCTTCTTCAGTTTTAAGATCCATAAGCTGGTATCTCTACCTCTTTCCAGAACCTGTTCCTACTACTACAGCAGCATACCTGTTGGGTGTCACTTGGATGCTTGCTTTCACTTCTTTTACTATCTATCGTGCCATAACCTACTAGATTTCCCTGTATCCGTACTGGCCTTAAAAACCAGAAAATTAACAAGCCCACATAGTTGCAAATAAAATATGAAACAGGAAGAAAAGAGCACACACTTCCCTCCCCCCTTTTTACAAATTCAGCTTTGTGTAGGAACACTTCCCTGGAAATGTACATTAAACAAATTTCCTGTTTATAGGTGACTTCATTTAATACATACACTCATATAGAAAGTCACAACACCATTTGACACATTAACTGTGTTAGGGTAAAACACAAGTTATTTTGGACATTTCCTTACCATAATGCTACATACTATCTCATACCTACACTGCAGTACTTCACACAAGTTACTCGACCTCAAGTGAAAATACGTGTTTTGAAATTTCCAATTGCTCTGTTCACAGCAGCAGCATATATATATATTCCTTGTGTAGAGCACTTTTGCTGCAGGACTTTGTGCCACAGAAGTTGAGTCTCTCAGAATTACTCTTTATTGAACAGCCCAACCAGTAGCTGTTTGCCTTTTCTAGGTAAATGATAAGGAAAACACACTAGAGGACTAGCAACAGTCAAATGATACTAGCCTGTGTCCACATTATGGGGTTGTTGTGTTAGGAATGACAGACTGTTCTACACTGAACTTTAGCCTAAATTATTTGATGGGAATATCATTTGAATTCAAAGGTGGCATTACAAATTCCATACCCTGTGCCTGCACGTGGACTGGATTTGAACTAGTGCCAACTTGTGAAGGTTAATGTCAGTTAACTTTGAGCTATCTCACTGGCATCAAAAGGGCCAATGCTTTAGCTACAGGTTGGTTGGTCTGTTTGTTTAGGTAAATGATGCGTCCCAGCCAAAGATGGAAGTTCCCCATATTATAAGAGACTTCCATTTCTCTCTTGACATTACAAATATATTTGATACCAAATAATATTCAATCACGTTTCTTGAATAGTTATATGAAAGAACCCAGCCACAAAATAAATATGCTGCGAAATGAATCAGAATTGTTTTCTTAATAGTAATTACACGAGACATTTAAATCCTTAGACTGCACTCCTTGTTCCAGGAACTTTATGACATGATTAAGTTTAATAAAAACAGATCTACTGTAAGTACAATTTTGAAGACATCTCTACCCAAATGGATGATATTTCTCCTCTGTTCCCTCCTCCAGAAGTCCCACTATTATTGTTCCCTTAGACACGATACATTAAGCTAAGAAAATATTCCATTGTATTGGGTTTGCGTGGCAAGGTTTTGGTAGCGGGGGGGCTACAGGGCTGGCTTCTGTGAGAAGCTGCTAGAAGCTTCCCCTATGTCCGACAGAGCCAATGCCAGCTGGCTCCAAGACGGACCTGCTGCTGACCAAGGCTGAGCCCATCGGTGATGGTGGTAGCGCCTCTGTGATAACATATTTAAGAAGGGGGAAAGAA